CTCAAATGGCAAGGGGTGTCCCCCTAAGATATTTCAGAGAATCATCTTCCCAAATCTCAAATCACAAGGGGTGTCCCCATAAGATTTTGTAGAGAATCAAGTCCCCAAATCTCAAATGGCAAGGGGTGTCCCCCTAAGATTTTTTTCAGAAAATCAAATCCCCAAATCTCAAATGGCAAGGGGCGTCCCCCTAAGATTCTTTTCAGAGAATCATCTCCCCAGTTATCGTCGCGCCTGCATGTTCTTTTTTATTTCGGCGGGCGACGGCATCCTAGCATTATCTCACGTAGATTCGGGTCCAACTACACATGTGGCGTTCCCCGGTCTTTTAATTTAGGGTATTTATAGCGTTGAGGTTTTTGGGGTTTAGGGTGTTAAGGGTTTTTGGGGTTTAGCGTTTTGGGGTTTAAGGTGTTATACGGGTTCATATAGGGTTTAGGGGGTTTTGGGTTCGAGGATGAGGGCTTTTGGGGGGTTTGGGGTGTCTAAGGTTTTTAGGGCCTATTGTTTTTAGGGCTAGGGCTGTTTAGGGATTTTAGGGTTTAGCAGTCTTATAATTTAGGGTTTCAGGGTCTGAGGCTTCTAGTGTTTTGAGATCCAGCGTGTTTAGGGGCTCTAGGCATTCAGGCTTTAAGGTTTTTTTAGGGTGTTTAAGGTTTTTAGGGTTGAGGGTGTTCAGGGTTTTTGGGGGCTAATGTTTGTAGTGTTTGGGGTGTCATAAGGGTTTATAGGGTTTAGGGGGGTTTGGGTTTCAGGGTGAGGGCTTTTTGGGGTTTAGGGTGTCTAGAGTTTTTAGGGCTTACGGTTTTAGGGTCAGAGGTGTTTAGTTTTTTTTGTGTTCAGGTGTTTTTGAGCTGAGGGTTTTTAGTGTTTAGGGCTTCTGGTTTTTGTCGGGGTCCAGCGTGTTTAGGGGCTTTAGGCATTCAAGGTTTAGGGTTCTTTGTAGGGTATTTATAGGGTTTACGGTTTTTAGAGGCTTTAGTGTTTTTAGGGTTTTTGGAGTTTAGTGTTTTTAGGGTTTAGGGTGTTTTAAGGGCATATATAGGGTTTAGGGGGTTTTGGGTTCGAGGATGAGGCCTTTTGGGGGTTCAGGGTGTCTAAGGTTTTTAGGGTCCATTATTTTTAGGGTTAGGGCTGTTTAGGGTTTTTAGGGTGTAGGGGTTTTAGAATTTAGAGTTTTTAGGGTTTAGGCATTTAGGGTTTCTGGATTTTGTTAGGGTCCAACGTATTTAGGGGCTTTAGGCATTCAGGGTTTAGGATTTTCTTAGGGTATTTATAGGGTTGAGGTTTTTAGGGTTTAGGGTGTTCAGAGTTTTTGGGGTTTAGTGCCTTTAGGGTTTAGGGTGCTATAAGGGTTTATAGGGTTTAGGGGGGTTTGGGTTTCAGGGTGGGGGGTTTTTGGGGTTTAGGGTGTCGGTTTACGATTTTTAGGGTTAGAGGCACTTAGGGTGCTTAGGGTTTCGGCAGTTAGGTTTTTAGGGCTTTGGGCTTCTGTGTGCGGCCCGCGGCCCGGTCCGCGCCTCCAGAGCAAAAAACCATATATACCCACTTCATCGCCTACTATAACCGCTGCTGTGGCTGGTGGGGAGCCTACCCGTCATCTCCCATTCGCGTCCACTACCACACCACACCGGCTGGCGAGGCGGTGGTGCAGGCCAAGCGGGGCGCACCGACGGAGACGGGAGCGCGCTCCCCCAGCTCACTCAGCACTTTGAAGAGCTCACAACCGCCAGCCAGGCGGACACCGCAGGAACACCGGCAGTTCCCAAGAAGCCACCGCCAACCGCCTCCAAGGCGGCGCCGCCACCGCTGCAATTGGCACCGTCAAGCACTGGCGACTGCCACAGCTTGTGGCAAGGCGGTTCCCATCAGCCGGGCGAACCTGCCTCCTCGGCGGTTTCGCAACGAGACCCACCGCCTTGCGGCGGTAGCCGTGGGCGCATGAATCTGGCGTCCGTAACCACCACATCAATCAGTCACTCTCACTTTTGTTGCACGTGCTTCTGGCTACTATTGGTCTCGCTTGGCTGGACTCCTGACCCGCCTGGGCCATCGTGTCATCTACTTGGGACACTCTTTATTCATTTATGTCGATGACCTCATGTGCTTTCTGTTCCCTGGTGCTGCTTGCCGCCCTTTGGTGGTCTTGCTCGGGTTCAATTTTGTTTTGGTGAAGGTGTGTGGTCTTCTGGTCCCCTGGTCTTATGGTCTGCTGGTCCTGTGGTCGCGCTAGCCCTGCCCCGCGCTTGCGCGTATTCTATACATGTATTTAGAGCCAAGGAGCCACAACCTCACGACTCACGAAACTGTACGAAAACCCTCACATCAGAACTAACCTCGCGAAAGCCTCACGAAAACTTCGCGGCAACATCACGACAACCTCGCGCCATGCTATCAACCTAACATTCCATCCAAAACTTCACGACAGCCGTACAACAGCATCTTCACATCATACCGTTGAACTCATCCCATCAGTCAAGCCCCACCCAGCTTATCAAATCAGTATTAAGCCATGCGATTAGACAACCAACTCCGCCGAAAAACTTGTCGCCAGGCTTCTGGGAAAAATCATGCAACACATGGTAAAAGCCAAGGTTTTCCACCATTTCCCCTGAATCGCCCGACTTGGGCTGGGCTAAGAACGCATTGGTTTGTACAACGTTTTCGAGCCTGATGCTTTTTGTGTTGACGCCCGCGCATCCTGCTTCACCATTTCCGTTCCCATCAGCTCTGCTTTTGCTTTCTTTTCGTAATTATGGTCCCTGTGCTTCTCGCACACCATCTGGCACCAAGATGTTTGTAGCATCGGATGTAGTGCCCTCCACAGACGGGCGGCTTTCAACCTTGGCAGAGCAAAAGCAGCTTTTAGAGGGAGGGCGTCGTGCTGGCATGCTGTAATTGTCACCCTGCTGGATCTTCACTGAGGAGTTCGCCGAAGCCCTTCGGTGGTATTTTCAGAACAGGCCTGCCTCCTTCTTCACGTGCTTGGACAACATTCTCACATACTTGGGTCAATGTCTCAGGAGCAGTGGCCACTTAGTGCACGCGTTGCCCGGGTTTGCCTTGATTGGTTGATGCACTCTCCAATAAGTAGTCCTTACTACTTGTAGCAGCAGTGAAGTGCATGCAGAGGCAAACATGATGGAGAAGTCAAGGTCTGGAGGCGGTCATGTGCATCACAAAGGAGTTCGATGCTGCACGAGCCAATGTTGTATGTTCGGGGAGAAAGGCGAGACTTTGTTGCATTTGTAGTAGCAATGTGTCCCATACTCACAGCTTCCGAGCCAAGGATCACTTTTGTTTTTTCTTATTTCTTCTTCCCCAAGCCCTTCGGCATCTTGCACGTGCTGCTCGGCATGCATATGCCCTGCCACCAGCTCACGCTCAACTGCCGCCAACAGCGTTAGCTGCTGCAGGCTTGGCCTGGCATTGACGATCTGGGGTGGGTGGAATCTGCAATGCATCAAGCACGAGAAAAGTAGCTCTTTGCCCTGGGAGCGATTGCTGTATTGTTCATGGTTTTGGGACCGCAGGGCCTCTGCCATCTCGTCTGGTTCTTTCCGCACTTGAGTTTGGAACTTCTGGAGCTAGTGACTTGCATGCACGAGCCCCTGCTTGTATTTCGGTGCATGTTGACCTTTTTGGTGTACCAAGGCCTGAAATCATCTGCAGTTTGAAGCTCAAGTCGCCATATCCAGCTCCTGACCACATGCGTTGCACTGAAACTACATTATTCCTGATGCAGCAAAGTCAGAGGGCAACCAGTGCCCATAGGTGTTCAAGTAATTGCAACGCGTTCGTTCATATGACCGAGCCTCCCGAAGCCGCAAAAGTTGAGGAGGAAAGGGCTGCAGAGGCATCATTCAGAGTCAGCTTGCGTGTTATGCGTGTTCAGCATCAGGGAGGGGCCTCTGACAGCAGGGCGCAATAGGTGCCGGCTTGTAGCAGCAGTCGACTTACGCAGGAAGGATATCTTCCAACGACGGAGACTCAACCTTGCGCTCTTGCGACCGGTTTGCGTCATCCAGGCCACGAGCACCTGCTACGTCCCAACTCGCTTCTCCAAACTCGCTTCGCGCATTTTTTAATGTTGATCACTGAAAAGCAACCAGAGATTATCTGTCAGAGACACTTTGAAGACATCGTCAGCTCATGCGACCAGGTCGGACCAGGATCAAGAAAATCCTGAAATGCTCGGCTTAATTCAGGCTTGTTGTCTTTCTCAACGTTGATCTGGGTTGAAGATCTGCTTCTGCTATAGTCGGCGCTTCACAGACTTCACCATCGGCAAAGTGCCACATCAAGTACCTGGGACAGCCACGATTCTTTTGCAGATGCGTAAAACATCACGATGGTGAACTGCCTGGGCCCGATAGACATTTGAGCCTTAGCCCGCCTAAGCATGTTGTTGAGATGCTGCCTCTGGGATGTAAATATACTCGGCGCCACCAGGGCACACCAGGCGCGCTATGACTTCGTGGATTCTTCTGAACAGATTTGGTCAATGCACAGCTGCTCCTGAATCTTGAGGCCGCTTCGATCCCTGGGCCTTAAGATCCTGAGATCCCTCCGCCCTGAAAGCTGTTCAATTCAAAAGGCTCTCAAGCCGAAAAATCGCCAGAGCTTCATACATTTGGAATGCCTACATGCCCTGTACAACCCTGACCGGTGGAGCTCTCAAACCCTAAGCCCGAAAGCCCTGAACTCTCTTGTGTTGCAGTCGCAAGAGAGTCCAGCAGTCTAGCGCATTTGGCATATGCAACAAACAATCACTAGACACAGGGTCACGTGTGATTACCAGGCACTGTTTTTGCAGTCGCGAGTGATGGGTTGGCCAAAATCGCCTGACGATTCTCTTGTTGACTGCGTTGGTACTCAGTCCGGCGTGGGATTGAGAGTTATACTACATTGCCACCTCAATTAGACGATTTGTTAGACGCTCTCGCGCAGTTGGATTGACCTTCCGCCGGTTGCATCATTTCCTTCGCGAACGAATCTGGTACTGCGTGGGACCTCTCTCATTACTTGAACAGGCTCTCAGACTTGCCCTTGACTGTTTTGGCATTACAGACATAGGCTGCTGTATGTAATCCCGGCAAACGATCGTGATCTTTAGCAAACGCCACGGCAGATTCAAGTGCAGCGGGCCGTGCCTTTTGCATGCAGTGCCTTGTGTGGCTTGGCATGCCTGCAGCATCCTGCAGCAGCCTTTTTAGGCCGACCCCAAGTGCTATGCAAACCAAAGGTCCTGTTGATCTCTGCAAGGAGTTTGGTACCATCACATCTTTGTGTGCACCTGCCTTTGACGCAGTCTTTCTCAAAACTGCAGGCAGAAGTGCTTGCCTCCAAAGATGCAGCCAGTGCGGCAGATGAGGCATGAACTTGCGGAGAGGTCATGTTCCTAGATCCGTCAACTCGTCAAAGAAGAGCGCCCGTAGGTTTCCAAAGAACCAGCTGCGTTCGAGGCGCGCTTGAAACAAAACGAGCATCTCTGCGAGTTGTAGATTTTCAAGAGGCTCTTGACTTCAGGAGCTACATGTTGCAGAAGAGTTGGTGAACTGGTTCAAGGGACCAGGTGGGATATCTTTGATGCCTTACAGTCTTTGCAGCAGCCCGGGGGCACACTGCAGCACCCGCGGAGAATGAGATTTGCATGAGGCGGTGAGAGCCTCGCAGAATTGGAGCAGCTTTCTGGCGCCAAAATCCTTGTCTCTGACGAGGCTTCACAGTACTCACGAGTCATGCCTACAACATAAGTTGCAATCGCAACATCCTTGACGATTGGGTCTTGAACACAGGCAGTGGACGGACAGTACGCTGTGAAGATTGAGGGCAAGCCCGATTCTCTGCTGCAAGATTTACAACATTCTACAACCTGTGAAGCGCGTTCCCTGCCTTCCTTCACATGCTTTAGCACATTTCAACACAATCAGGTCGCAGTTTCGCGAGCACGTGTCTTGCTCGAGGACATCAACGGCTTTGGTCGCCTGACTTACGGTGATTCTTGCAAAAATCAAGCATCAAGGGGGCACGGCAGGATAAGCTCCTCCATGCACCGGGTGGCAAAGAGGTTTCGCTGCAAATGGATTGGATCGGGAAATCATAATAGATGGAAGGTTATAGAGCAGATGCACAGGAAGCTCCCGTGATTGCTATCGCCGGGCGACCCTTCAAGGACAGGGAGGAGCTGGTTGGTCACATACGCTCTATCCAGGACCGAGACGCTCAGATAGCACCTGCATTGCCACATGCAGTTAAGTTCTAGCATGTTCTAGACTTGCCTGAAGCGCCAGGCTGCGACCCCAGATGGTAGTTTATTGGGCCCTGAAGATGCCCTGGGCTCGGATGTGCTCCCCTAATCATGCAGCGTATGATATGCAGTGATCGAGGATAAGTCTTTGTTCCGTTTTAAACTCGCCTGCATCTTCGATGGACAGGATTAGGCAGCTTTGAAGATCTCCAGAGGCATCCCCAAACCTTACGTATAAGTTTCAAACAACTTCATATTTAAACGAAATCAAAGAAAGAGTTTAACGATCCGAGCGGTTTCTTGCTGCTCGTAAAGTCCTTTCGGTCCCTCGCCTGCAAGAGAAGAAAGAATAAGGGTTTGCAGACAGGGACAGCAGAAACGCAGTGAGAACCCCGTGCAGTATTACCGGCATCCACGTAACTGTAAGTCTTCACACGTAGTGTTTGTGTACAGGCAAGAGAGCCGGAGCGATAGCTTTACCAACCACTGGAGAACGGAGGATATCGATTCCCTGCGCGCCGAGCTATGTTTGTTATGTCAGTGTTTGACAGTGACATTGAGGGCCATTTGGGCGTGTGAGGCCTAATTCAGGAAGAAATAGCCAAAGAAAGAAGCAAGAGCGAACGAACGAACGAAAGGACGAGATCAAGAAAAACAGAGAGAAATTCCAACTATGACAATTTGCATTTATTGCCTCAACCTTAAACTCGAAGCCCCAGGATTGAAGTTGCAAGTTGTCGCAGACCAAAGCGGTTGTATCCCTAAACCCCAAACGTACCGTCCACGAATTTAAAGTTGCCACCCACAACGCCCTGCAAAGGCTTGGGTTCCGTGTTAATTTGGGGATGGTATGTAATGCATGTATATTCACCCTCACAAGCATTCTTCCCTGGCAGAACTTAGCAAGACTCTACGAAGACAAAAATGTCCTCGTGTTCGACCATGTTTTGAAAACGAGGCGGCATGTCCTGGACTGACAAAACCTAGCAGGAAGTTGCATGTTGACATCTTTGTGCGAACTGGCTAGGGTGGGCACTTCTGAGCCCTCCCGCATCTCATCTCTGAACACTGAATGCTTTCAGTTGCAGTACCTACAGCTTTTCAACAACTCGTCATGTTTTGACTTCCAGTATTTGCAGCCTTGTAGAGCGCCAAACGCTGTGATTTCCAGTACCTGCAGCCTTTCAAGAATGCCAATGCAGCCTTCTGAAGAGCTCCAAATGCGGTGGCAAATGCCAAATGCTGTAACATCAAGTATCTAATCTTTTTGAGATTTCTTAAGTTTGTGATCCTCAGTCTGAGCTTGCTTTGTTACTGTGGCTGTTCTTACTATGATTCTTGCTCACACGATTACAAGTAGTCGTACTGCTAATGGTAGTACCACTATTGGTATTGCAAATGTTAACACTATTTTTTATTGCAGCGTTAGTCTTATGATCAGTACAAGCTTTCATATTAGTAGTAGTATTCCCATTGGTATTCTTATTGCCATTACCATTACCTTGACCATCACCATCAACATTACTGCTACAACTACCACTACCATACCGCGGCCACGATCACCACGACCGCCACGACCCCTCCCTCCCACCTCCACCACCACCGCGACCATGACCACGTCCACAACCATGACCACAACGATCACGGCGTCCACGACCACCAGGACCACCACCACGAACTCGACCACGATCACAACCACCACCACGACGACCACCACGACCAGAACGACAACGACCACGACGACGACTGCTGCCACTGCTACCACTGCGATACGGCTACTGCTTCTGCTATACTTCTACTACCACTACCATGAGTAGTAGCGCAGTAGCAGTACTAGTACGATGACTGACGACGACGACAAGTGCTACTAGTACTAGTAGGAAGACGACTACTATCAAATTCGCTTTTGAGTGCTCGGCTGGGGTTGTTTCTTGATCTTCGTTCTCACCCTTAGCCATTTGATTTCTTGCTTGGCATTTTGTTGTGGGTGCCTTGGGCGTCTGCTTCTTGATGCTTGTTGTTTGTTGATCCCTGACCCCCTGGTAGTTTTCTTCTGATCTTACGGCCCATTGTGGTGCAGCACAAGTTGTGCACAGGGACATGAGCATGCGCGGGACGCGGATGGTGCTGCAGCATCGCGGCCCGAGCGCCCAGAACATGTTGATTTCCCGCCCATTCCACCCTGGGCTTGCATAGTTTTCTGCTCGCGTAGAACTTAAAGAGCAGAGGGATTACCGTACGAGGATGCCGGATGCACCCGCTATACTGGATAGCCCCGTCGGTCCTGGAGGTTCAAGAATCAAGAATGCCGACACAAGCAGAGAAAGAGTGCGGTAGCTGTGTGATTGGGTTCCCGAGTGTTAAGCATGTCCTCTCTTTCTTCGTCCACTAATTACAGCTTCATTATTGCGGCAGTGTGAGGAGGACAGCTTGTCAGGCTTGTAAGGATCCTTCGAAAATGTACCCGAGGTTACGTTGAGTGCCACAGGTTTTCGGAACCTGTACCCACATAGCGTGGGGTGTGTCGGAAAGAGATACAGGGTACTACCGACAGCCGGGGGTTGGACCACTCTCTTCAGGGATTGCGTGGTGCCTCCAGTCGGGCGCTTACTTTGGATTAGTGAAAACTTTCAGCTAGCTAGCAAAGGTTCATGGATGTTGTAGATGATAGAGAAAGGATTCTGGAGAGGAAGTGTGGGCGGGAGAGTAAAGTATCCTGCTCGTAATCTTACTAGCTTAGGAATACCTAGAAGAAAAAACGGCAGTATGCGCTTTGAAGGGCTATGACACAAACGTTGTGAGGGGTCTTTGTGATCGTGAAACGGGTGCCCAGTGGGAGGGTAGGGGGTAGAGTCGTGGACTCGGGTAGATGCGGGGTCGGAGGTGGGAGCGCGGTTCCAAGAACCTCCCAGCGCTGGATATTTCCAGAGTTTGTGAATTCAGGGCATTTCGGCCTGTGAGGAATGGTGTGCGGAGAGCGGATTGGGGAGAGGGGGGAGGTGGAGATGGGGGACATGGGCCTGGCGCTTGGTTTAGGATGGAGTTGTGTCAAACCTGGTGGAGGGATCATGGGGATCGGGGTCGCGACCCTCGTAGTTGTCGTCGCTTTTGGACCCTCGGATCCCATTGGAGAGATACAAGAAAGAAAGTAGCCAGGAAAGCAAGAAAGACAGTAAGTAAGAAAGAAGAACAGGAAAGCAGGGAGCCAAAAAGAAAGAAAGAAACACAACGCAACAACATGAACTGATGAAAAGTTGGCTGGCGCACCCTGAGCTTTGAAAAGAGACGTTGGCTCGCAAGCCCACTCTCCTAGCAATGTAAACTTGGGGAAAAACATGTCATCAGGAAATATGCATGTCCACGAGGGCTGTCCATGCTTGCAAGAAGAAAGAAGTAATTAGCATGTCATCACCATGTTCGCTAAGGGAGGGTTGTATGCCAAGGGCGGGGGGCTACGTACCCCCACATCCCCCCCTGTTTTTTCAGCCCATCCATGCTTGCAATAAAAAAAGATCGTGCAATCACCATAATGTTTGCAGTGAGGGAAGGTTGCGCGGATGGATCAATTTGTTTGCAAATAGGAAGCCCACTCTTCTCACAATCCGCGAGGATCCGAGGGTCTAACAGCGACGACAGTTTCGAGCATCGCGACCCGACTCCCCGCAATCCTTGCATTGTAGCTGCTGACACTTGAAACTGCCAGAGGATCCGAGGGTCTGAAGGCGATTGCAATTACGAGGGCCGCGACCCCGACCTCCACGATCCCTGTGATTGTTGTCATTTTTCAAAATCCGAGGGATCCGAGGGGTTCGAAAAGCGACGACAATTACGAGGATCACGACCCTGACTCCCACGATCCCTCTGATTGTTGACACTTTTCAAACAAGAGGATCAGAGGGTCCAATAGTGATGACTGTTACGAGGATCACGACCCCGACCCCTACGATCCCTGTGACAGTCGTCAGTTTTCAAACTCCAACACGATCAGAGGGTCCGACCACAGTTACGGGGATCACATGCGTCGATGGCCGTCTTGCTGATCGCGCGTGCTTCGTGCTAGTCTCCGTACTTTTCAGTATTGCCAGCAAACACCTGGAGATTTCACTGTCCTCGAGTCCGCTGTTTTTCTTGTTCATTGCGCAGCATGGCCTACTCCAAGCAGTTATAACTTTTTACAATTCAGGTCCAACTTTATCCCTCAGACGCCAACATTGCCTCTTTATCCCAGGGTTTCTCCTAACTAACACTTACATGAAAGAAATTGCTGCAATGAATATGTCCACTGGCCTGTTTTAAATGTTTTGATCGAGAAAGAATAAGGACCGGCTCTATTCTATAGACTGTCTTCAAACATCGAGACGATTAGTTTGCTCATGAGGAATGAGGGGTGACGTTAGTTTCTCCGAAGATAGGTTAGTTTCACTTGTTTTAAGCAATTTGCGTAAAGCAAAACAAAATGATCCGTTTTTACGATGTGATCCAACTCTTCAATCGCATGGTATGGGAGAAATGAAGCATGTTGTGTTTTCCCTTCATTCCTGTTTGCTGTGTCTTTATCCAAGCAGGCAGATGAACATCTATTTTCTGCAGCTTGAAATGTAAAACACGTCGGTAGCGATCCTGCCCCAAACCCGCGTGACATTTTCCAGGCACCCAGCTGCCCTGTCAGCAGATTTCCGAACCGAATGGAATTTCATTAGGGCTTGTTAAGATCATCACGTCAATTTGTTCGATAGAATTAGGATGTCATAGTTCGAAGAGATACGTGGCGCCGTGCACTGGTGTCACAGCAGGGGTAGGCAGCCTGACGCAACCACAGCATGCTGCATATCCTTGGGGGCGCGGGTGGGTGGCGCTTCAAGGCATTTTTCGTTTTCCATCTAGCGACGCGCAAAGCTCAGCTGGCTGATGCTTAAAGATGTAAGGCACGGTCAATTTCTGGAGCCGCATCCCGTCACAGCACGTCAGAGGTTTCATCCCAACTTTGTGGAGAAGATGACAGCTCCTGTAGTAGGCTTCAAGTACGGGCCTCACGAGGCTGGCATCTCGAACCCAGCGGCATAGCTGCAACAAGACTTCTTAAGTCCCTTATTCTCCTTTGGGAGGCATTCGTGGGAAACAAATGCTTCTCCGTCGTGTGGAGCCCGGCAATGCTTGATGAAAAGTTTGCCCGATTGGCAGCCCCATGTTGTGAGGTGCGTGCTGATGGAAGCGAGGAGGGAATCAGTGTCATGAAATGCCAAGTCCTCATTTTGAAGACATTGAGAGCGCAACCGCTAAATATGTTAGCTTCTTGATGCTCGTCATCTGCAGGTGTGGAGTCAGCTCTTCCGAAGAAGGGGCAAGGACGGGCTCGCAAGAGCATCTTTGACAGTCACATTGGCTCTGTTCAAGTTCGGCAATGACGGCGCTAGCTACAGGTCGAGGAACGAAGCGAGACCGTGAGGATGGAGACCGTGATGAATTGGCAAAGGACGCAGTCATGCGGTATCGCTGTACTTGGCAAATGCTAATTCCTGCTTCAGGATTCGGCGCATGCTGGGGGCGAGGACCTGCGAGTTGTTGCTAAGTGGGAGGCTTCTTAAGCACACCCGATGACACGTACCAGGAGCCTCCGGCTGCAAAGCCAAGGCGGGAAATGCAGGCAAGGCATGCTAATATATCTCATACGCTTCGTATGCTCTGTCGTCTGCCAATGTATTCAATGGCAATTCTCAGCTGCACTCTTTTTGCGCTGCGCTCTTGAAGCGCTTTCAAAGGGAGGATTTGTTTGCACTTTCATGTGCCAGGCGGGCTGTGTCCTCATCATAGAGGGCTTGCCTGGGTCCTGCTGCTATGAGGAGTGACTTGTGGCAACAGCGAGGGAGAGTTTGACACAGCCATGCGTAGCTGTCAGGAAGTGAAAGAGGCTTTGAAAGCCTTTGGAGATGTGCGCTTCGTAGAATTTCTCCGAGGCCGGTGAAGCTGCACGAGGCACCCAAAGCTCTGAAGCGTTGCCACCGCTGGCAGATGGCCCTTCCGCTTCCAAAGCTGAAGCCAAGGCCAGAAATCTTCCACGGCTCGGACTCGGCTCGTGTCGGCGCGTTGTCTGCCCAGGAAGAGGCAACAGAGATGAGTGGAGACGAGGTGGAGGCTAGAAGACCACATGATTCCATGACCACAAATGGGCAGCGCCTTAAGATATCTCAAGATGTGAACTTTTTGCAAGGGAGGCGAGGAACACCTCTGCGTAGAGGCTCGTCTTGAATGCTCTCATGTGATTCTCGTTGGATCTCGTTGGATCGTGTGGGTGTGTTGAGCTGTTGGGCATTCAGCTCCAGGCTGATGCTGAAGCTGAGACGTGCGACACCGAGATGACGTCGGCCAGGTGCAGCCCGCACACGTAGTCCCTGGATTAGCTTCGCAAGGGTTCAACAACGCGGGGGCCGGGGGTGTCAGGGCGGGGGGTTTGTCAACAAAGACGCAAAGATCGGCGAGCGCAAGCAAGAGCAAGGATTTTGCATCACCGACTGAGCTCGAACAATCAGCCGTCAACAGGTCAACCGTATCGACAGCCGAGCAGACTTTTCCCTGACACAGGCGCGAGGAAGGCTGTTAGAGGCTCGGCATGGGCCGCCCACTTCGACAGAAACTGCGATTGCAATACTAGTTACTAGGAAAGGGCAGGTACAGTTCGGTTAAGGCCAACCGGCCTTGCCTTTCCATCTCGACTCTGCGCATCTGGCGATGTTCGCATTGCCTGATGAGGAGGTAAACTTCGCTGGTAGTCGTTGGAGTTTGAGATGCCGCGGCTCGTCAGCCATGTTGAAGTCTTCTTTACCCTTTGCAATGTCGAAACCTCAGCCCTCAGATTCTGTGGTCAGCTGATGGGCTCGGATCTGTTTTCGGGCCACTCACGTGGCTGCCGTGACTGACCATGCTGACCATCCTTCTGCAATGATGTGGCAACACGTGGGAGAATGATGGGCATTGAGCACACTACATAGTGTGCGGTTGCCATGTTTCGAAATAAGATGTTCCCGCTTCGAATCTGTTCGCAAAAGACCTCCGCCCTGTATCGCTCTGACTGCAGAGCGGTTCCAATGCGAACATTGATAGGCGTACCGTAATCGTCTGAATTCCCCTGACGTGCTGCAGTCCCCGCATCCAGCCAGAGGTGATTCTCATTGATTCTCATACCATCCGATTCTCATACCATCCAACAACATGCCTCAAAGCATTCAACTGGTGAGGCAAGACAACGCCGCTGCTTGAGCGTTGGCACCTTGCATTACAGCGCCCGGAATGTGCAAGTTACTGAAGCTTGCTTTTGCCAATCGCCCACTGTCACAATGCGACGGGTACTACGCCATTCTGGCACTCACCTGCGATTTTGCAGAACCGGGTTTCCACACTTGGAGCCCAGAAGTTTCTCGTAGGAATTTCGAACAGGCTCGGTGTGGATGACAGCTTCCCCCAGGAGTAGAGTTGCAGGTTCGCAAGAAGTTGGTTCACAATGAGTGTAAGCCTCGGTTTCCTCATGTTTTGCCCCGCAGGTCATGAGATGCATGAGATGCGAAAAAAAACGCCTTGAGCAGGGATGTGGTGTATGCTTGTGTGCATCCGAGATTTGTCTTGCGCAGCAGGGCGCGCTTTGCCGACGCGGAAGCCGCGACAGCTGCTGCAGAAGGCTTCAAGGACTCCAGGAAGTCATTGTAAATAAATGTGGGCTCCTTCTTAGCAAGCTGTGTTTGCTGCATGCTTGCTTACAGCGGTTCGCAGGAGCTGGATGGGAATGTTCTTTCCTGCCGTGTCCTGGATGGCGAGGAGGCCAGGCAGGAAAAGAGATTCCGAGCGCGCAAAATGCAATGGAAGCAGGAAAAACAATTCTGGGAACGACTGTGGCAGAAAGCTGAATCGAGGCAAGGAGGGATCTCTCATCTCAAAGCTGCTGCCTTGCCTGGATTTCAATGATGGACTTGTAAGGCAAGCGAAGGGAAAGGGAAAATGGAGCAAGGACTGGTGCTCTTTCGCAGTGCGATACTGCTATCAAGCTTTAATCTCATTCTTGGACGCGTGCAAACTGACTTCAGAGGTGATCCGGTTGCTGTAATGGCTTGTCTGCTGAAGAGTCTGCAGTTGCTCGAGCTCGAAGTGCATTGCGCAGTTTTGGCGCACTCTTTAAGTGTTTCTTAGACTGATTTTGGGAACTTGAAACACCAAAGGCCACCTGCGGCAGGTGTGCGGGGGTATACGGGCCCAAGACAGCAAGCTAATGGATCAGTGTCTAGAATTATGGCCACGTGTGGTGCGCATTATTCGGGCAGCTTAGGGTCAGCCTACAGGACAGACTTCTGGCGCAATCAGGAACCGACCGAATCGCACATGTTGCCATCTGATGTGGCTGCAGCATGCTGCAGTAATTCACTCACCAAGCAGGCACTTCCTGCAAGCACCATTCCTGAATGCCGGACCACTGCTCTCGACATTCACATCGACTGATGTGCGCAGCAAATCCTTGTGCAGGGTGTTGGACTGGGGGCGGTGTGATAAGGACAGCTTGAGAAAGGCCAAACAATCCTTGCAGAGCTCTCTTACAAGCTCTTCAGGGCGAGCTTGGTGTGCTTCCGCGCAGTGACACAGCTGAAAGTAGAATATCACACGGGCACGCAATGCTTGCAAGGCTTCTGCGCATTGGGCTCTTTGCACCCACGTAGCAGTGGATGTCCAAGCCATGATGTGTGGCCGTATCGCATGAGGGTTGCTATGCATCGTGCCACTATCGTGTTCCACTTGATCAGGACCGCAAGGGCAAAGGAAAGAAGGGCAAAGGCCGCTACACTGGTTGCCCCATGAACTAAAGTTTACCGCGGAAGAATTTCATTTCAATGAATGATTGCCTTGTCACTTGTCACTTGCACCACCGCCCGGAACTGCTGCACGAGCAAGCTGGGCAGGTGAAATGGCTGGGAAATGACAGGGAACAAGGAAAAGGATTACCGAGAGACAAAAAACTTTCCTCGATCTTCAACTCAGAGCTCAAACACTCCACAACTTGCATTGACCCACAGCAAGTGGAGCAGATGCTGCGATTTTTCTGGAAATTGGTTTGCATTTTTTGTTGCAACGAGGGAGAGCAACGAGGCTAGAATGCGAGCCCGCGAAGCTGTGCAGCTTTAGCTTGGCCTGCCACAGCATGTGCAAGTCACAAGATCTACTCGGCTTCAGCCCAAAATCCCAAACCATTTCGTGGTGAGATCACGATACTTTTGGAATGTCCGCTCGGGGCACTTTCTTTTGAAATGATGCAGGTAAAGGAAAAAGAACGAAGTGAAAGGGCGGCCGCATCCGCAAAACTGCATAGGAGCGCGCTTCATGCACGGTTCTGCTGGAAAGCTTGAGCCAGGTTTTTTTGAAAGCTCCGCATCTTTCAGCTCAAGCACAAGCTATCGACGTATCGAGACCATACTCATAGCTTCTCATGGTACTCTGCCAAAGACTATTGAGACCACCACAGCCACACTTACTTGGACTTGCGACGTCTTGGAGACAATGACATCAGTTAACATAGGACCTCAGAACAGTGACTCCTGCTCAACTTCCTTCCCCCTAGTAGTTGTTTGCTCCTCGTACCAACGTCATGGCGGATGGCGCGGAAAACAAGGCCAGTCTGGAAATCAAGCTGCAGTGTGTAGCTTCTCAATCTTTCTCTTTTTCCTCCCTCTTAGGATGCTCCAAGTTTCGGGATCACGGAGGCAGCCTGAAGCTCAGTCTTTCGCAGCGAACGGAGAAATAGGCTCGAGATTGGGCCCTGGCCCCTGCATCTTCGGCATGGTCGGCACGCAGCTTTTCAGCGTGACTGTCTCATGGCTGCCCTCAAATCTACGGACATTCCTCTCAGGTCACCACGATGGGCTTCACGCATCAATTTTTGCACTCCTTAAGTGGCACGGCCTAGCAATGCCTAAGGATGCGCCGCCCAAATTCCAATTCCCTTGTGTAGAGAAGCATGCCAAAGACCTGTTCTGGCATGTAGCTGCAAGCCTTGGCGGGAGACTACATTGAGTCCATAACTACAACCGAGCTGAGCATTGAAAAGAGTTTGGGAATATTCCCTCCAACAAAACATTTCCTTCTCACGAAAGCTGGCCGCCTCTGGGTCTAGCTTGAGTCTCTCATCAAGCGTTAGCTTGCAACAAGGGGTGTGGGGGTAGGGGGGGCCCCCGGCGCGTCATAAAAATCCGGGTTTTTCAGCCAAACAGCAGGGCAGGGCTGGTTTCGCGCGTGCATTTGGCGGGTCGTTTTCCGACCATAAAGAACACACAAAGATACATAAAGAATACCGTGTCCGACCCTTAAAGTTTGAACCCGTAAAGAACACCTTTGTTACCCAAAAGAGGGGGTAAAGGGTGTGAAAGAATACGTCAAAAGTGCCTGACGGGCAAAATAATATATGGTCGACCCATCGCATGAACCGTGAAGAGGGTTCGTTCAAGCTGGCCTTCGTCCACCCCCTTGTGTTTGAGCATAAATACATACTGTATCTACTGGAGTATATCAGACTATTGGAGAGCACTAGATGAGATAGTGTAGGTAAAGTTATATGCAAATACCACATAGAACTACATGATCCTACATGTACAACGCATACTGCTTGAGTGCCAAACATTTTGGTGTCAAACTTGAGTTTGTGTCCTGTGGCCTTCCTCATTCCCAGTAGTATGCGAGGAGATAGTGCGCATCTGCATTCTGCCACTTAGATCCTGCTCTTTCGTCCCGTCCCTCTCCCCCAAGTAATGTGGTCCTTACCAGAGTCCACGTGCTCATTTAAGCAGAATGCTCCATGCAGAGAAATCTGTACAGGACTTTCAGAACGGCCATGCGCTAATGCTGATGTGCAAGTGCGTGATGGTCATGTAGAAGCTACTTTGAAGCTACAAGCAAACCACAAGCCAGCTGCAAGGAAGCAGCAGGTCGGACTTGCACGCATGCCAGCATCCAGCAAGGTTTTTGACACGGCAAATATCTCTTGCACAAATGGCGTACAAGAGTTGCTTCTGCAATCAAGCACGCGTTCAGAAGGCTGCCCAAGTAAGTAGCTCCTGGAATGCCAGGGTTCAGTTAGGCCAATGGCAGACTTGACAGTGGCGCCGCAAGGTGGCGACATTTGATTCGACAATGCACAGTACAGGAAGTGCAGTCCTGAGTGGTGACAGGCGTCAATCGAATGAAGGGATTGGAACATGAACAAACAACCCTCAAACGGTCAGTTTTGAGGTCTGGGCCGCACTGAGCTGGCTGCCGGGGTAAGCAAGCTTAGCGCCTGTTTGAGGATACCAGCTCCGATCCCTCAGTCTCTTGTATCACTGCTGGATGCGTGCCAATAGAGGAATGTCTTGTTACCCTTTGCCCTGCCTTTCTGGCTGTGACAGCATAACTCTTTCTGTTGGTAATGGAAGGGATGCAGCAGGGTCAGCAGGGTGAACCATCATCCACCAGCTGAGGCAGTCGAGGATGAGCTAAGCAACGCAGCGTCAGTGGACAAGGCACCCCAGCTGTGCCATGGTTGTGCCCCCTCAAATCCCGACTTTGACAGGTGCAAGAAGTCACCGAGCAGCTGGCGGAGTTTTTAGTAAAGTTTAGGCCTGTGCGTTCGTGCCGTTTGTTGGCCTGTGCTGTTTGCAAGTCTTGGCTTGAGCCCTGGTCAGTTCAGATGAGCAGTATGCCATCTTAACACCTTTCCTCTCCGTGCTGCTGGGAACTTACCTTCCAACTATGTTCTTTGATTTCCGTACGGATTTTGAGCACCAGTGCACGATGAACCAAGTACAGTAGACGCTGAGGGACACCGGAGACGAATACGTCTGCCTCTCTGCTGCCATTCCTCAGTGGGATCTGATCAGACAGTTGCCGTCATTTTCTGGTATGTCAGGTTGAGCCACACATCGATGAAGCTCGCAAGTTCATTTGGCCTTGCCTGCCAGATTGTTTGGCACAATGTGGCACAGGTTGTCACATCGCATCTGATGAAATCTGATGAAATCTGACCTGCCAGTCATTACCTCGCCGTGTTCTCGCAGTGCGAGCGAGATCTCATCCTGGACGGGGCGGCGCATTTTACAGCAATCGAAAGTGAATCACTTGACACAATAGCTACAATTAAGCCAGACTGCGCATAGCCTTAGTCATGTGGACAGTGCTTATCTTTGGAAGTCACACATGGAAGACGGCGAATGCCATCAAAGAGTGCGCATACTCCCTCACTGCGTCTGAAGCGCCTTGAGTTTATCCAGTGGGGATGACATCGCACACGCACAATCAAAGGGGACGCCGACGATGACATAGGTGCATATCTTGTTTGGTTTCAACGCCTGCTGATGTAGAACGTTGAGCTGATACGAATGCAGGGCGACGCGCTAGACGAGAACATCCATGGGTCTGACAGAACACATTTCCTGGAGAATACGCCTATTGCGCATTATTGCGCCTAATGCACCATAGTCTCAATGCTACTATAGCTACCCTCGTGAAAAGAACAGGAGAAGTGGCGACCTGCTTTTGACACTGCGTCCCTCAACTCAGCGACGGAGCTCTAAACTCAGCGCTCCGTTTCCAATCTGCCCCAAAACATCAGAGCTGCACATACCCGCCATTTTGAGTACAGTAGCTCCACGGGTTGGATCAGAAGCACTCTACAGCTGTCGTCTAAAGGGAATGATACATAGCGCTGCAAGCGAATGCTCGCCCACTTACATCCACTTACGGTATCTCGGGAGCATGTGCAACGCTTGTTGCTACGCTAGAGTGAGTTGATGCCTGCTGACACACGTTGCATGATATGTGTTGTATCTCTCGCTTGCTGTGAGGTCACTGACACCCTCGGCCCAGAGCCCAGACATGCCCAGACATGCCCAGACCCTCTGGTGACGGCCATTCGTGCCTTCTGGACGGCTGCCAGCTGGCATCTGCTGTGCAAGTGCTGTGGATAGCTGAGATCCTCCGAGGTGACACCGCCAGGTTCAGTGACACCGACTGTTGTCACTCCACGAGAGCGCAGTGCTCAACTTTGGATTTACTCAAAGTGTCCTGAAAACCTGCCATTGCACTGCCATTGCGAGGTTCCTCAGTGCACGCCGTGAGGTCAATGAGGTGTACCACAGCCATTCTCCATCGGGCGAGGTGCAGAAGGGCCAACCGCAGTGCCCGCCTCTGTTTTCATGTGCGTTTGGGCTGGTCTGGGCAGGCTGAAAGATCTTGACAAAAAAGGCCCAGAACTTAGCGATGCCAAAATGGTTGCGGATAAGCTTTTCAAAGCTGGGCCACCTGGGATGCGTGGATGCAAGGCCACTACAAGTCTCACAAGAACTGAGCGTTGCTACCAGATCTCCCCAGCAAGCCAGTTGCTGGAGTTTGTCACTCCGCCTGGGATCAGTTCGAGCTGATTCTAGCACGTCGTAGTCTATTTTCTTGTTCATTGAGACTTGCGTGCAGGATCCCAGGACCATAGGACGTTTCAACCAACCGTTTCGACAAACCCACTGTAGTGTTAGGAGTGCCAGCGAGTGATTGCGTAGGTAGCTGCAAAGATGGCAAAAATGGACCGCAGGTGATTCCTCTTTCATGGGCCAAGCCATCGTGTCTGCGGAGGGATGGGGAGGGTTGCCCAGCGCCCGGGAACCAGTGACCCCGACTAATACTTTGTGGCCTTCGGGATGTTTGATGCAGAGCGTTCCAAGCAAAATGTGCTACGCAGAGGCACCGTTTGCAGGTGCCGCATTTGGGTCCGGTGCTGCTAAAGCTGTGCATCATGACCTGCCTGGCTGCTTTTAAGTCGGCATGGACCACGTGACACCTTTGCTTGCGTTGCTCCCAACGAACGCTCGCAATTTTGTCACGTGCTGGCCCAGCCGGTGGCAGAAATGTGGCACATCTTTGAAGGTCTGGTGCTCACTCCGCAGATCCGTAAAGGTGGTATATTGCCGGCCTGCTGTAGCGGGGATAGCCTCCTTCCTGGACTATGTGAGGCTGCGAAGATCTGCGAAGCTTGGGTCCGGGGAAGTACCCTCTGAGGCTCTTTCGGTAAGAAATTGCGGCGGCGATGCTGATGCAGGCTTCCACTCGGGCCTTCTTACGCCATTATTGGGCCTCTCTCGGGGGAAAGGGTATGTCTGCGATGTTTGGTCTCAAGCGGCGTGTGACAGACAGGGGTTCTGAGCGCTGAGCTTTCGTTTCTGCCGCCAACTCTCATGTCAGATGTACAGGAATTCAAGAAACACGGAACAACCAATCAAGAAAAGCAGGACACATGACTTTCTCCTAGGAACTTGTGAGCACAGCTATGGCAAATGGTCTGGCTGCTGGCTTAGCCCTTTTTTCCGATGCATTGCACCTTGTTCATGGATTCATGATCTGGTTGATAAGCATCAGAGGTCCGCAGCGCATTTGGCGGCACTGGCCGTTTACTTGGCAGCTCTTCCCGAGGCGTGACAATGGAGGCCGGATGATTTTCGCGCAGTTTGGTGCATGCCGCATGCCAGAAACACGCAGAGGGGCAGGACAACTCTTTGGGATAGTTTCTCGCACTTTCAATCTTGGCTGTTGACTATGACGTGGTTTGACTGGCCTTCTATGATGTTCCTTATGGTTTCTGCCTTGGCTTTTTACAAGGGCCTGGGCTGGGTGCCGTTCAGCCTGTCGTAAGCCTTAGCACCAGGGACCAGGCAGGTGAAAGCGTGATCGCTCTGGATACAAGCGCATTGAGTTACGCATGTTGTGCGCTGATTTGCTCGCTGGGCCATCGCGGGCCATCCCTAGTGCAGCATGAGCTCTGTCTGCCCGGGCGGACCGAAAGTCCGGCGCAGGGTAGTCCCTCAGATTTCACCCAGCACCTCGCGCTTCAAGATGGTGCGCGAGTACTTGGCCCACTGTGGATAGTGTACAGTTCTTGGTTCTGGCGGCATTTCGGGAGAACACGAGTCGCAGCTCGGACAAGTTGGTCGCCGCCCCGCAGAGGATCGGCGGGTTCGCTTTGTTACCAGCAATGGTCAGACTTTCGTTTGATTCTGAATACCACCGACAGTGTCGATGCTGATCAATGATGCGTGTTGTCATAACTGTACTAGTGTTTGTTGGGAGATCATTGCGAGAAGGGTAGGGGCAGGCATCTTCCGAATCCAGCTTGGAGCATTCGCCGCCGAAGAAGATTCTGAACATGCTCTTTTTGATGTTGCCAGACACGCAAGCTAGAAATGTGCACTAGACACATTGGCAAAGCTTGTCAGGCATCTGCATCGCCACGCTCCATCTCTGTCCACAAGGGCTTGAGAATTCAGGTGTTCCCGCTCCTGGCACGCAGACTGTCATCAAGCTTGCTCACCTGCAGGGTGCACTATGTGTTGAACGACCACCCATGCACATTGTCGAGCCCGAATACAGCCAAAAGTGGCGAGCCTTCAAGGAGGAAAAGTTGCCGCGATCAGACACCTGTTCTCATTGACTTCCTTCCCTAACATCGCAGGCGTGGGAGCTGCGTACCAAAAATCACCTCTCCTTGGAGGATGAGCTGGTCCCCTGCCTCGCGAAAGGGGAGTTTGGCTTGCGTAAGCACGATTAAGCACGCCCTTTCCTGAGGTCTTCATGCGCTTTCACTTCCACTTCTTCCAGGACAAGCGGCCCAGGCCCACGCCGGTATCTGCACCAGCATGTTTTGCAGTGAAGGATGTGGCGGCCACGCAAGCTTTGGCATCTGGTGCAGCTCCTCAGTTGTTGGGCTCTCAGAGGTCAGTGCCCAGTGGTGAATCCTTTGCATCGAACAGGACTCTTGAATGCAAAGCGTCTCAGTGTCCTGCTGCAAGCTGGTTTCGGTTCACTGGATAGCTTTTACGTTGTAGCGATTTGTAGTCCCAGGCCTTGCAGCGAGACTATGATCAGAAGATCGGGATGAGTTTTTCGGAAGCCACACTGCGCTATTCTCGGCCAGGCTGCTGAAGGCCGTATGCGACTCCTTGCAAACAGGAGAGCAACAACATATGCAACGAGCCATTCGAAGGCTGGTCTCAAGGCTTACAAACTGAAGAAGCGTTCAAAGCCAGGACTGCGACCAGGTGAAGGGCTCCGAAGATAGCCAGGCAGTGCAACTGGTTTCATTTCAAGGCGAATACGTTCTGATGGCAGTGATGACGAGGCTGAGCTAAACCTGTATGGCCTAATATGCCAAGCAGACAGACTCAAGGCAGTTCTCCTCAATAACGTGATGTCTGAGGATTTTGAGCGGCTTGACAGGCAAGTGGCCGAAGAGGTTGCTGATGGCGGACGCAAGTTTCTTGCAGAAGTCCCACAAAATGTCTCAGATCAGATTAACGGGAGTAGTGCACGTATGGCCATGCCTTCTTATCAGAATCGCTTCGAGGCAACCGCTGACGAAGCTTTGCATGCAGAGGATCCAGCTCTTGAGCTAAAAGAACCTGAAGACCCTTAGCTTGCGCCTCCCAACTGACGTGAGGATTGGAAGTAACAGGAACTGATTGTGCGTAACAGGGACGTGTAACAGGAACAAAGCCCAGGTCCGTAACAGGAACTGGGGTTGCGCTGTAACAGACTCCCTGGGCCCGCCGTAACGGGCTGGGTTCCATGAGGCCAGGTGACTCTCTCGAGAGAGCTCCAACGTTTCTCTTCAGAGTTT